CTCGAGTGTCCGCAATTGGCTGAGCGTTCCTGAGTGAGAAGAGGGGGGGGGCTTCGCGCAGAAAGTGAATTATGAATGCGCGAAAATCCTCACGCTCGTAACACGCATAGTCTCGCTCATTCATTCATGGAGACGAGCGAGCTGCGCTCACACAGGTGTTCCCCGATCCATTACGGCTGATGTCCGCTCGCTTCGCCATCAGTGGAAAGAGAATTAGCCTAAGAAACATTTCTGACCAATTAGGCTTGTGCATAACGCGTTTGCGAAGGGGACTTGCTCCGAAAATGGTGAAGTTCCCGAGCCTCGGAACCAAGTAGGGTTTCTTGTACAAGGCGATGAACGCGAGCATTATCCACCCTCATGGACCACAAACTTCCGACAAAGCGGCCAAGGGCTCTCAATGGTAGCGCGAGAAGGGAAAAGCAGACAGTCATCTCCAGTCATCGGCCCAATACCCGATGCTCCCGCGTCCGGGCGAAATTGCGGAAAAAAATGCAGCGATTGGACTCGCGTCGCTGAGCCAGACCAAGATCGTCTAAAATCACCCGGATCGTTCGAAAAAACGTTCCGCTGCTGAATAAAGAGCGCCGCGTACTTTGTCAGAACTTTTTCTGAACTCGAAACCTACGCTCACCATTCCGATTCGTTTAGTTGAAAGCTCCTCGTGGCGGTCGCGCAGGGCAATGGATTTACTCGACCAGCGTCGCAATGTTCGTGCCCCTCGCGTACTTATACTTTTCGGTCGCCTTTCTCGACGTCTTCTGCTCGCTATAAATTCGCTCCCCGAGCTAATCCCCAGGAGAAATATCCGAGCTCGGTAACAATTCGAGCCACCGCGCGGGTAGCGGGCTGACGGACAGGCGGGCGCGGGCACCCGGTCGGCGGGGTGGTAACTGCTCGTTGACAAAACTGGACCTGCAACAAATCTATGCAATTGGATACAAGTCCAGCCCTCGTCCGATCGACGTTGATCTCGATAGGGGATCCCACAGATTGCATTTTATTGACAGGAGCAATACGGCGTCTCATTCAAAACCAAACCGTCCGAGGTGATCTTGGTTTCCATGAGGCCGACGTGATCTCCATCGGAATCGGGGTCAATGAACTCGTTGCAGATGGAAAAACTTGTCTTCTCGTTGTAGAAACTTCTCCCCGTCTCTTTATTGGGAATAAGAATCCACGAACACTCACTCCGTATTAGAGGGAAAAACGGCATGACAGGGGTTCTCCGCGGAGACTCGATGGCAAGATGATTAGAGACGAGTACGATATGTATGGAGGCTCCCCTATATCTCAAGCTGTAAATAACTTTCCTGCGGACAGATGTTACTTATCGATCAATCTCTCCGGGAAAACGAGGATTGGGTCGAGCAATACAGCGAATGAGGAATCGTGTCGAAGGAGTCGGAAGCCTCGAATATGGGAACTTCAGCCGAGATTCTTCATGGACACACATGACTTATTCCAAATTTCCGATGTCCGGAGCGGCAGTGTCGAAAGCCTGTCCGAAAGCCTGTCGGACAGGCTATACTCAAATTCGTCGACTACTTCAGGTAGAGAAGAATCTGAGATAATACCTATTTGTCAAAATCATATTGATCTCGATCTATTTATTGTATTATACCGTACCCCTATCTTGCATGACTGGGGATTGATGAGTTGACTATCGTACATGAAGCCGCCGTTCTTTTCCTGTTTGAGGCAATTATTGGAAGGGGGAAGAACACTGCTGAATCCCTCCGCAAACGATACGGAGCTCGCAGTGAAACAGTGTTCTAATTTGTGCTCCCTCGGTCGTCTATTAGCAGTTGCCGTTAACGTTAATTCGGTCGCTGCTGGTGCTCTTGCCGCTTCCTCGATGCAAACCCCGACCCCCCTGCGTTCGCGTGTATGATGAACAGAGCTATAAATAGCCCAATAAGGAACCGGAGCGTGAGCTGACGTACGTGGGAGCATATCTCCCCATCTAAGTACACAGAATGTGCTCGCAGACTCTCTAAGTAAAGTCTCTCTTTCCAGCCCCGCTCGTCCACTACCCTCCTAGCGAGTACGTCGGCAATGTGGGGTGGACTCTGCATTCGCGGAAAAGTAATGAACACTTCCGCGTGATTCGAGCGACCCGCGACGGTCTCGATCGAGCGCTAATATTTTTCCTTTTTTTCAGACGTTCCCCCCTCCCACCAAGTCGCCCACTCCTTCTCCCACAGAAGTTGGAGGGGTCCCGACCAGCGAGCGGACAAACAGAGAAGAACACCAGCAACCCCGCGAAAAAAATCGTACAGCGGGAACTCAGCGAGGCAGAAAGACATGTCTGCTCTGTGGCAAGCATCTTTCTCGG